CTTCCGTTAACAATGACAAATCATGCTGACGTTCTCTAATTAAGTCCTGTTTATCCAATAACCATTGTTGGCTATCAAAAATATGAAAGCTCATAAAAATTGAAAATCATTGAGATTTTACTGTGACACAATTTTGAAACTTACTGATGTGAGCTCTGCCAAAAATTCCCGGCCATTCTATAACTAAATTACCCTGGAAAAACTTTGGGGTTTGTTGGATGGTGCTAATTATTCAAATCTTGTTATGTTGAATGCACGTAGTAATTAGTTTCTCTCAGACTTCTCACTAAATTAACTCTGTATTTTCGCGAAGTACAAATGAAGCAACGGACCGAATAGTATTCCTTGATTTTTTTTAAATATAAGTTATATCGAAAGGAAAATCTTCGGTATTTAACACGACAAATACGTGTACTACATGCTTATGAATCCACTTTGATTCCCCCAGAAAAGAAGGGGGAATGTCACTGATCTGGCAGCAGTGGCAGCTGACTGTTGGTGGAGAACTGGAGAGGGGAGCATCCAGGAGCATCTGGGACCATCTCGTTTGACGACGTTATGACCACAGCCGTGCCGTCACAAGCATCCAGTGCTTGGAATGTTTCTACTGACACAATAAATCAGAAGGTCAGAGCAGATCAGAAAGTATAAATTAGTCAATTAATGACGGTTGCCGGTTGTCGGTTTTATTTTCGCCAATCACGTTGCAGGTAATCCACACTCGTTGCATTATAATTGACCTAATAAAATCGACAATCGGTAACCGATAACGGCAACCTGTAAAGCTTATTCTACAATGACCGTAAGCCACAAAAATTGACCAATCGTAACAAATTATTCTCCTCGTATTTGATTACGATTGGTCAATTTTTACGGTTTACGGTCATTGTAGAATAGGCTTAAGGATTGGATTATACTGGCCGTAATCTGTAAAAATTGATCAATTATAATCGATTATTCCCCTCTTATTCGACTGTGATTGGTCCATTTTTACAGATTACGGCATAAGTTAACAGATTACGGCCAGTATAATCCAACCCTAAGCCCATGGCACATACTAAACGTAAGGCCGTAAAACGTAATCAGTAAGCGAATTGGCCAATCACAGTAGAGACCGTAAAGCCGGTAGCGAATCCAATGTTACGATTTCCTTACTGTTACGTCTTACGGCCTTACGTTTTTTTATGTGTTTCTGGCTTAAATCTCTTCTACAATAGAGTCGCAAGTAAGCAGTAAGAAACTGGCCAGTCATAGGCTGGGTCCACAACTTGGCTTTAAGAGGCCCAAAGCCATAAAGCCGTAAAAAATTGACCAATCACAGTTGATTATTTCTCTCGCATTCAACTATGATTGGTCAATTTCTTACGGTTTTACGGCTTAGAGACTCTTAAATCGAAATTAACTAATTACAATCGAATTCGAGGAGAATAATCGATTACGATTTGTCTATTTTTTATGGCTTAAAGTTTAAAACTGTTGTAGATCCGGGGTAAACAGTAGTGAATTCAACATGTTGGATTCCTTACTGCTTAAGTCTTAAGTTTTTCTACTATCTATAAGTAACAATCAATTATGTTCATTTGTTTGGCGAACAGACTAGCCGCTTTGTCAACGCGCCCAATAATTTTGCTTATTGAATTAAATCAATTGGAGTTTGATCAATTAAAAAATAGATTGTAAACAAAATGACTTCTTTTTCAATGAGTTTTGGAACGCGGTCGTTATTGAATAGTTACCGACTGTGAGGTATCATCATTACCGACTATTTATCGAACATACAAGACGCAAATATCTCCAAAAGAGTTCTTTATACATATTTACTGTGCATATACTCTCGCTCTTTTAAGTAATCGTGGCTTATCTTAAATAATAAAGTAATAAACAATAATGATAAATCTAACAGTTTTTTATGTTATTAATTATATAATTAAATGGACAATAATTAGATTTCAAGCAAAAATTAATAGATTATAAGAATAAAACTTATAATATGTTCAAATTTATTAGCTAGATTATTAGCTGAATAATATAATGTTTAAAATTCAATAATAACACATACAACAGAGTGATATGAAAAACTTCATAATGATGTCTTTATTTTGATTTATTAAACGTCATTAAACGTTATTCGTCTCTCTCTCTCTCTCTCTCTCTCTTTGCTAAAAGCTAATTAAGATGAAAATATCACAGTAAAAAATAAACTTATTCTGAATGTGTGCTGTGTGTCAAAAGATATGTTTATTTAATTAAACAATGATATATATGTATAATATATGAGAAGCATATTTATTTTACATTGTTTTTATATTAATTTTGGATTCAATAAATAGATGTCTGGATTCTTGTAGTTATTCGAAGTGATAAAATTTAAATAATGCCAATTTAAAACATTTATACGTACCAATAAATTTAAAGCATTGAATTCTTACGTCTAGTCGCGTGACACACGCAACGTTTATAAATAAGACACAATCTCTCAGTATTATTTTTCAATATATCTTTGTATATTATATATATAATAATAATTGCTTCTTTCTTAATGTAAGGATTTATTATCACGAGGATTTATTATATATATCACATACCTTTTTTATTTTTAAAACTTAAGCACTTGAATCATCTTCTTTCTCAGTGAAAGTTTTGTCTTGTGTTTATCCTACTTTATCTTTATAATTAGATTCTCGATTTGTTCTGCTTCTTACGAATTGACACGTGCCGGTACAATCGGCAGACGCGCAGACCGAATCGTAATAGCATTCGAAATAAAACACTTGAAAAAGAAAAATAAATTATTTATCAGTCAGATTTTTATACGACAGCACGTGTCTCCTCGTGTTATACGCGAACGCCGGCCCCGTCATGAAAGCTGTAATTTATTTGGTTCATATCGCGCAGTTTTTCATGTCGCTCGACTTTCCTGCTATGATTATCGTGTACTTATCGGCGTGACACAGCTCACATTAAAAGTCGTACGATATCACGAAAAAAAAAAAAAGAAAAGAAAAGAATATAGTATTCTTAACGCATTGCGAATTCGGGGGAGGAGATATGCAGACAAGTATTGTGTGTGTCACTTCGACGATTGACGTTTCGCGAGGTATAATTTCTGTGACTTCTTTTTTATCGCTCCGACAATGAGAGGAGTGAGAAATAAAGGAGCGCGCGACACGTGTTTCTCGACAACCCGTGATTATCATAGATAACGTTACCGCGCAATACACTGTAACGCACGTTATTGTGAATACGCGCAATATTCAGATATAGGGGATGTCTGGAAAATGTCTGAATCTTGAGGGAGAATCGACAGCCGTGCGACAACCAAAAGTCGGGGAGATGCAGTCGGCGGTGAATCGTTATTACAATATTAACAAAGTCCTCCTGTCGAAACTTGGCGGTTGGCCAACGCAAAGTAAATTCTTAAAAATATTGTTGCCGACCATAATGATGTCTTTCGTTTTTAGCATCGGTTTTCTCGAGGTAAATTCCTGCCGTTTTTTTATTTCGTTGGTATAAATATCTATATGTGATGGTGTAAAAAGCATTGCATGAATAAAATTTGCAACATGGAGAGAGAGAGAGAGAGAGAGAGAAAGAAAAAGAGAAAGAGAAAGAGAAAGAGTATCTCGATTCTGGTTAGCATATGTAGGTATTTTAGATACGATTGGAAAACATATATAATAGCATCAATTAAGCCTTTTAAAATTTTTTATCATAATAAGATATTTTAAATATTTATTCTTTATGCAAAAAAAAACTTGAATATATGGATGTTACTTCATATCAATTAAACATACTAAAGAAATTATTGAATTAATAAAATTATGCGGCTGGACCTCTTAACTGTGCCGCAAGTTATTTCAAATTATCATTTTTCAACACATACCATGTGTATAATTAAACAAAATCTTAATAAACGACTTTAAATAAAACTTTTTCGAGTTTTAAGTGACTTTTTTGAAAGAACATTTTGAGGATGGTTTTCTGGCAACTTTTTCAAATTCATGAATATTTAATAAGATATACATATATTTGATTTTATAGTATTATATAATGTCAATAAATAATAATTAATTTTATTGGTAACGATGTTACGACATAAAGTAACCCAGATATTATCCTTTTTTATTAATTTTGAATGGATTTTGATCTTAACAAAAAATTATAAACAATAATTTTCAATATGTTTTAAGCAATTTGAATTTATGAAAGATTTATGAAATGTATGATCTATTTGTCATACTTTTTTTTAAGAAAAAAAGGAATCAATTTAAAATTGGTTAAATACAAAAAGAGAGATTTATTTAAAACAGCCTGTATACATCTTCTATTTACAAAAGATAATCGAAGATTATCGTTTGTATCGAATTTAAAGGATTGTTTTTTTATCGAATCTAAAATTATTATTCCTGTCGCAATTTATATTGATTTACATTGTTCTTAATGCAGGTAGGTGGAAATGTTAGAGACGTGCAAAGGTGTCCGCAATTATTATCGCCGATTTTCAGTTTGTAAGACTGTCTGAAACATGGAAAACCATAACCGAGGACTGTGAATGCTTCATCATGCTGATAATTACATTCGGCGCTTATTGTAAATTGTTTACCATAGTTTTTAAAAATAAGAATGTAAGATTTCGCGAGTTACAATCTTTTGCTTAAGCTTTAAAAACAAAATCACGGATTGTATCCTTCGTTTTGTTTATTGTTTCTCAGATAGAACACCTGTTGTCGCTCATCGATTATCATTGGCACGTTTTTACGCATTCTTTGGAAATACAAATTATGCATGAATACGCTATCATAGGACGGAAAATGACGATAAGTTATGCCGGTAATAATGAAATAAATTACATGCTTGTCGTTCGGCTTTTAACGCCGACTCATCACAATTAATGTATCGCATTTACTATTCACATATATCATCATAAATTGCACAATGTAGCTAACCTAAATAATGCGATTTGATCGTTTATTTGTTGATACGCTTACATTGTAATTATAATGGGAGTTGCAGTTATGATTTATTCATTGATGAGCCTTTATATGCTGATCCCAGTAACACCGCAATTATTGGATCGCTTTATTCCTCTTAATAAATCGCGCCCTTATAAATACCTGTTCGATATTGACTACAGCTTCGACAGAGAGGTATATTATTATCCTGTATTACTCCATTCATACCTGACAACTGTACTGACTATGAGTCTCATGATAATAACCGATACGAGCTACATATCATTCGCGCAACACGCGTGCAGTCTGTTCGCCGCTGTCGGGTATCGTATATCTGTACTATTCACACACACATATTTTCCGAAAATCTTTAACGTAAAAGAAATTTTTCTCTCTTAAATATTCGCATATCGTAAATAAAATTTTGAACGTATTTCAAAGGCACCGACTCGAAAATCTAGTCTCGGAAAGAAGTTCAGAGAAAAGCAATCGTTATTTTATTGAGGATATGAAGGATGTAATCTGTAATAAGAGCAAGTCACGAGATTACGATGATGAGACTTATCGCGAACTGGTACTTCTCTTGCGGAAACACCAGCTGAGTATCGAGTGAGTTTCGCATTTTTTTTTCGGATACCGCAAAATGTTTTGCATTCGATTTATCATTTGTTTATGTGTCTTTCAGATATGTCCGTTTATTGAATTCTTTATTCGAAATGTATTCGTTTATGTTACTCTTCGTTACTATCATCGTTATGAGTCTCTTGGGAATTCAAGTGAGCGTGCTATGGTATACGTTACCGATGTAGAAATTGTTTTATGTTATCAATCATTCTTGAACAAAGTTGGCCTAAAATTTATAATTCTATGCATTAACTCGACGTTTATGCTTTCCGCAAGTAGAACACAGAAGTCATAATAATATCATAAGGACATCGTTATGACCTTATTTGTCATTTATAAGTTCATTTTTAGAATTAAATGACGTCGTGACGACATCCTATGATATGACTATCTATTATCTACTTAGGATATTGTTCTCTTTTTTTAATGAGGAAAAAGAAATGGGTGCAAAATACACATTAAGCCACTGCCGCAAAAATGACAGATCTTGAACAACGCTGATAGAATTTAACTTTTTTGCAGATAATTTCTTTAATGAATCATAAAGAAGAAATGGTCAGATACGTAGCGATGGTAATAGGTGCTTTCATACATCTTTTCGTTTTGAGTTATCCCGGCCAAAGAATAATGGACCATAGTGCAGATATATTCCACAAAGCGTAAATATGTCGCACCACAGTTATTTGCGCGATGTGGAAAAATAAAACAAAAATGTGGTAAAATGCAGATAGATTTTTTAGGGAAAAAGTATTTAAAATTGTTTACTTTCTCTCTGATCCTCAGCAACCCAGAAGACAATAACTATTCTGTTTATTTCTCAGTTTATTTAAGTATGTCTTTAAAATTATTTTATTTTCTATTTCTTTATTTTCTATCTCGTTTGTTTGTTCTTTCCGAATTCACTTTAAATATCTCAATTATTTGAAAGAAAACGGCAGACTGTTATAAAAAGTAATGCGTTGCATTGCCATTTCAGATACAACATGTTGTGGTACAGAACGTCGCGAAGAACAACACGGTTATTGAGTATATTACTTTACAGGGGCTTTGTGCCTTGTACATTAACGGCTGGTAAAATGTACGTGTTATCGATGGCGAATTATGCTTCGGTAAGAATGGAAGCTATTTTCAATTCAACGAATGTCGTAGATACTACATTTATAGTATTGTGGAAGCATATAAAATTATTTTGAATTTTAAGATGATGCAGGCATCCATGTCTTATTTCACCGCCCTTTCATCGTTTAATTAAATAACTTGCGGTAGAAAGAAAAGAAGAGAAATTACATTGGATAACAATAGAATTAATAATTTTTGAGTGATTTTCCATAAAAAATAAACATAAAAATCTGATTTTAATTAACTTTTAATTATCGCGTAACAATGATAAATGAAGATCAGCAAACATTGATAATTTGTTGATATAAAGTGGAGATTTTGTATGTGAAACGTGTTGTAGATTAATATTTTCTGTTTGTGCGTTAATAAACATTCAAAGATAAATAATTGTTACCACATTATAACATTAATTATTATCATTTTTTACATTAAAATCTAATCTGTTTTAATTTACGATTTTATCGTTGGAAAGTGAATTATATAATATAATATAGACGTAACTCTTGTAAAAACGTTGTGCGTATTTTCCTACTTTCCTAATTTTATAGCGAAATATGGCTGACACGACTTTTAATCTCAAATTTCTAGTGATGTGAATCACTATGGTTTACATCATCTATACGTTTATGAAAATACAGCAGAGATTATGATAAAAAAGGTTAATTTGCGAATAACAAACGAGAGATATTACATCTGTTAATGACGAAAAGATAATTATTGAAAAATTTTGCTTCAATTTTTGTAGTGTAAAAACGTACAAGGAATGATTTAATTAAAGAAATTATGAAGAGGAAGGTAACAAGATTTTATATAAAAAAATTATTATGAAAAAAATTAGAAAAAGTCCAACAAACGAGCAGTAAATACCAGAATACATGACTATACATAAAAACCATTAATATCGGTAAGATAGCTATACGTAATAGTATAATAAATGATTATCTTTGTCTGAAGCAGTTAATATCATTGAAAAAAGACAATCCAAAGAAATAACATTCAAGGTTCGTTGTGACGCTGCAACCGAACAGTAAAAACAATCTGTTAATAACAAAGATAAAAAACAATTACACAAGTTAGTTATTCAGTCACATTTTTGAGTTCGTGTAAAATCTCTTGAAATGGCTTACAAGTTTTAGTTGCATCAACTAATATTGATCCTCGGATCAATGAGAACGTATTGGTTTGGATGAAAGTCTGTACTAATAATCTATGATTTCTCTGAGATTGAGATTGTCGATCATAAGATTTTTTAAACTGAGCGAGTTGATTAATTAAGGTTTCTGACTTTTTTTTACTACGGATCTTTTAGATTGACGATATTAGAAGTGAAAATATATGTAATGAAAATTTTTGCAAAACATGAAAAGTACATATTTTCATTAAAACAACATTTGTATTTGATATAGGATATTTATGTAAAATTGTAAAATTTATTGAAAATTCTCTTTTTACGGAACAGAATAAAATCATATTTATCTCAATAACTCGAATCATAAATCATATTTATCTCAATAACTGTCGTATAGCTTGTTTCGTTTTTGTTAGATGTAATTCAGTTTCAAATATATCGTTCATTAATTAATGGAAGAGAGAGTTTTCGATGAATTTTACAAATCTATTTTGTTGATTGTTTTCTCAAATGTTTTATTAAAAAATATAAATTTTAATACAGTTTTTGCACAAAGTTTTTCTATATGTTTATTGTTTTTTCTCGCTTCTGATATTACAATCCAAGATGGTAGCAGAGTTTGCAATAAGACCCAAGTATGCAATAAGAGCATTAAGTCAAATGATAACTGCAAAATAAATGATGTTAAAAAAAAGTAAACGATTAAAAAGTGACTTTTAGTGATCATTTTGCAGTGATTTTGATATCATTTATTTGATATCATAAAAATTTGTGTTCTTGAAAAGCATTTAAAATTTACGTTAAAAAAAGCATCCTTGAATATTTTTTTCCGCCGGGTACCATTGAATGTGCGTGCATCGAATGCATAATGTAAATGTATGATTGCGTGAAATTACGCAGGGGATGTTATATTGGTATGAACGTTCATTCGATTGTTTACAAAAAATAACTTTTAATCAACATTATTAGAATCAATTTTGTCCTTTTTTGAGAAAAGAATTGCAGATGAGTTATTAAGATATGTGAAAAAGCAGCGGATTGAAAAGTTAAATTACTTTAGTAGAGTCAAAAGGTTATAATGATATTAAAATAGTGTCAAAATGATAATTAAAAGTCACTTTTCGATCATAATTTATCAGAGTCACGATTCATTTTAATATCATTTTAATATTATTATAACCTTGATCTGTCTGGATATTTTATTCAGACTGCTGATGATGCAATAAAACGTAATTAACGAAGACGTGCGAATACTCATAAAATGCGAGTTGCGTCGAATCCACATTTCTTCACCGACATGTCAAAGTGAATCAAATTCATTGTTCGGACAATACAAAATCCACCAGAAGATTAACAGTTAAATTAGGATAACAAAAAAGCAAATAGTTATATCGAAAATAGTTATATAGCAAATAGTTATATATAGAAAATTCAGACTTTGATTGTTCAAGTCATATTGAGACGTTATACTCATGCTTATCTAATTTGGTCGCGTTTCGCAAAATCGCAAGTCTTTTGATAACTTTGTCTCCAATCCAAAATTATAAATATTACAATTTCATTAAAATCGAAAATATTGTATATTGTCATGCTTGCTAATTTTTGTTTAGAACTGCGAATTGTGTCACTGATAAATAAATTTTTTTATTTATAACAATAAATCATTTCTTTATATTTTCTTAAGAAGAATTCTTTTTTTTTTACGGATATAGCGAGGAGGATTACTTATGATATTGTGATATGCGATAGATATGAATCTTTACACGACCTTATCAAGAATTCAACTTTTCAGAGTGGGACGTACATATCTTTTGAAGAAGTTTCGCGAAGTTTTAAAAAGTCCTATCACTTTAATGTCGACATTGCTTATACGTATTACAAATTACGATCACTATATTTCGCTGGGTTTATCTCCGCTCGGAGAAAACAGCTTTTTTCCAGGAAATTTTTTTCCTACCCCAAGAAGACAATCTCTTTTCTTTTCGTATGATATATACGTTTCGCTCCAGAGTCTAGATTCTCGAAAAATATCGCATACGAAATACTATAGTATACGTTTCGTGTGGTATAAATTTTTCCTTAGTTTTTCGTATGAGATACATTTTTCAAGAATCAAGCCCCTAAATTCAAACCAAAATTGACTCAAGAAAGTACGATAGATATTTCGAAATAATAATAAGAAAATTGTGAAGAAGCTACAGAGAGATTATTCTAGATCTCATAAGATAACATAAACAAATTTTAGTGACGATTTGCCATCTGGATCAAAAGTTATTTCAATAATAAATAATGTATTTTTTTAATCTCTGTACTCTAATAAAAATATATGGAAATGTATTATATAAAATGACAAAATTGAGTTTTTTATTATAAGTATTTAAGCCAGTTAAATATAATTTTCACGTGTATACATATAATTTGGTTAAAATAGGAATATTAATATGTGCTACATATACATATACATATCTATTGAGCCTCTTTAATCATAAACTGAAATTGTCCCGTCTGGTCGCGATAACATTACTGCAAAATGTCTCAACGACGACGGCGGCGGGCCGTTATGGTGGGGACACTGAGGACGCACGTGTCGTCCGCGTCCCTTTTGTCATTGTGATATAACACATCCAAGTCAATTCGAGCCTTCGCCTCGTGTACTTCACAGATATAGCGCGCGCGCGCGCGCGCGTGCGTGACCAACACGGTGTGCCCTCGGGCCTCGACACCACGGGCCGGAGTAACATGGCGACTGCCTCGGCGTGGTTTAGTCGATTTGCGACCATCGGCGCGTGTAGATCAATGAGAGAGGAACGACGACGTTGAGTGTCAGTTCTTGTACTGCTCCGTAAGTATGTATGTCTATTATCCCCAGATTATGCGGTATATACTTCTTGCATGCGGTTTTTTTTTACGCAATAAATAATCCCTATACGCGGGATTTTTTTTTTTTTCTAAACTCTGTTATTGTTACTGTTTTTGTGCAAATATGTAAAATACAGATTTTTATTATTATTATACGTCAGCTTTTCTTTTACGTTTTTTTTTTTTCTGTATTGGCAGATTCTGTATTTACATATAATTCTCACAATCGCGTAAAAATCACTTAGAACAAATACTCTGAAATAAAATCAAGAGAGTTTCTTTATACAAGCTTTTTGTAACGAGAATATTTATTTATATTTATATGCATTGTATATTTTTATTATGTATGTCTATACATATCTAGTCTCTTAAAAGGATGTACGGTTCGCGAATTCTCGATCTTCATCCACGTGTCGTTTCACGGCCGAATAAGCGTGTCGCTTGACACGTGCGTTTTTTTTTCTTCTCTCTTTATCTCGCAACCGGAAATTGCACGCGCCTCCGTAAGCCGGTTTTGTATTCGAAAAGATCGAACACGACAAGGGGATCACGGCGCAGGTCGAGTTCCGCGATACGTCGAGGGCTTGTGTTCCACTACCCTGTGTCTTCTCTCTCGTGAATGACGCAAATGCAACAGGAGAGAGCTTAAGTATATTTTCCGCGCGGAAAATATTAAATTTAGCCCGCGTGTGAAGCTTCAAAATTTGATTGGCAGGCTTTGAAATACAACGCCAATTGCTTTTTCATGTTTTTCGACGGAAAACCGTAATTTTTTTATCCAGATAGAGAGAACGGTTGTTTAATCCATGAGCTGTGAAATTTTGGAGTTACAAATATGTGAAATAAATTACTTTTTTTTATATGTCGGCAATGATTTATACATTGGAGGTTTTATTCTCGAAAAAATCATATACACACGAAAATACTGAAGAAATCTAAAATATAACGCATACTGTAAAAAATGAAATGTTAATTTTAATTTAAAGACGTATAATAGTGGACTTTCTGAAACAAGTTTCAGAAAGTCTTTACTGTACATCTTTAAGTTAAAAGTAACATTTTATTTTTCACAGCGTATACAGTAGTTTACTATGAGATATTTTTCGAAGATAAGATATTCTTGTATGTTATAGTTTAATATATATATTTAGTATTATTCGTTATAATTTAAAA